TATTATATTATATTATATTATATTATATTATATTATATTATATTATATTATATTATATTATATTGTCTTATAGTATATTCTGTATGTTGTTTTGTGTTAAGTGTTTTAACTTTACATTTATGCATTTGGCAGATGCTTTTATTCAATGTGAGTTATATTGCATTCTGCGTATACATTTGATCAGTTCATGCTTTCCCTGGGAAACCCTACTCTTTGAGCTACAGGAACACTAAAACGTTATGGGTGTTTAAAATTGATTGAAAATTGCTGTAGTGACAATAACTGAGTTGAGATGTTATTTGTTGGTGAATATCTGGCAAATAAACTAACAAATATCTCCATGCTCAATTTTTGGAGGCAAACACATTCAGATTTTATTCTTTACAAATAAGCTTACTGTACACATGCAGTGTACTGTGAGCAGCACATTAGGAATATATAATGTAATACAATATTTTAAAGGATAAGTTCACTTCCAGAATGAAAATTCTGTTATCATTTACTCACTCTCCACTTGTTCCAAACCTGTATGAGTTTTTCTTCTTCTGTTGAACACAAAAGATGATATTTAGAAAAATGTTGGTATCCGAACAGTTAATGGGCACCGTTGACTTCCATAGTATTTTTTCCCCCTACTATGGAAGTCAATGGTCAACAGAAGAAGAAAAACTCATACAGGTTTGGAACAAGTGGAGGGTGAGTAATTGATAACAGAATTTTCATTCTGGAATTGAACTTATCCTTTAAGTTTCAAGTTTTTAAAGTTTTAAGTAATATAATATTTTAACTGTTTGCTATCTGCTTTTAAAATAATTTTGACCCACACTAAAATTAACAATTTTGCTGAAATAAAATGTTATGGCACTTACAACTTGCAGTGAACTTATCTTTGCACTTTTCAATCATTTTTAATTACTTTTTTTAATGAAAAACAATTATTAGTTATTATAAGAATAGTTAATTAATTTATTAAAAGAATAATTAACAAAAAATGAAATTTGGCTAAAACTGTACTCATCCTCAGGCCATTTCTTCATCAGAACAGATGCTAAATGCTAAATTTCTCCAAATCTGTTCTGATGAAGAAATAAACTCATCTAAGTTTTGCAGGAATTTTTATTTTTGGGTGAACCTTTCAAATTACCGTTGCATAAAAAAACTTTTACTATTTAAAGTGTGATTGACCAACATTTGAATTTGTTCTTAAATTCACTTCGACACATGGAATATTTTACATACTGTAAAACCACTTGGAATTGCCAGATCAGATAATTATTTGCTAAAAAGTGACATGGTGCATTTGGCATGGGACTTTTGAAACCAGGAACTGGGAATGTCCACCAGGACAAGCACTCAAACCTTAACCTTTTGATTATAGAATGAATGCATTATTGAATTATGATTATATTGTGTTTTATGATTCTATAACATTTTTGATAGATAAAACCACACACACGCACACAAATGGATAGATCTGAACTACCCACATGCTCAGCGGCGTCCTCATTTCCACATGCTAACGTGTGGTTTCTTGTGGGTGTGTAGAATTACATACATTTTCTAGGTCATAATGTTTTATGTAACTCATGTCCTAAAATCCAAGGGTGAAATAGGTCATAAGAGTGAGAACAAAGCCTAACAGTGGCTCCTTTAGCAATGAATCACTTCCCTTCAAACCCACAGCCTTCACTTTAGTCTTCCTGCTTGACTTTAGACACCAATTTTATAGCATTTCTCTCTGTGTTGGTTTTACTAAAACATTTTCAGATTCTTTCATTTACACCTCCAGGTTTAGAGAGGTGTCATGCTGCTTGACATTTTGAGTTTAATTTCTATGAAACAGACTTATGATCTTTTAAAACGGAGGAGTGTCTGGATTAGAATTAGAGTAAGGTTTAAGTCATATCAGGTTGATTATAATATTGTTTTTTTTTTTTTTTTTACATCAAAGACTGCCATCTGATCTGAAGCTGTGATAAGAGAATCTGATGAATGTTCGATTTCCAGGAAAGGCGGATGCCTTTGACTGCTGAATGTTAGTCTAAATGTTTGACTAGATGTTCATTTTATTTAAATTATTTGTCTTGAAAGTAGATGCGTAGAAATTATATTTAACTCAAGTAACTCATGTGCCATCACAGACATCTCTATCACATATTCATCTTGGAAAAATTGCAAAAATGCTCACTTGAAATAGAAAATAGTTTATGAAAAATTAAGCTATGGTATCTGAGTCTTAGCTGTGCTTACTATTGAATGTTTAATGAACATTTGCATGACTTTGTCTAGAATAAAATTGGAAACGAATTTGGACAATTTGGAATTCAAATTTTGTATTCACACAATACAAAGTTAAAACTATCTGCTCTTTTATGGACAAGACTTTTATTTGTGTGGGTGTGTATGTATATAAATGTGTGACCCTGGAGCACAAAACCAGTCTTAAGTAGCACGGGTATATTTGTAGCAATAGCCAAAAATACATTGTATGGGTCAAAATGATTGATTTTTCTTTTATGCCAAAAATCATTAGGACATTAAGTAAAGATCATGTTCCGTAAAGATATTTTGTCAATTTCCTACTGTAAATATATAAAAACTTAATTTTTGATTAGTAATATGCATTGCTAAGAACTTAATTTGGACAACTTTAAAGGCGATTTTCTCAATATTTAGATTTTTTTGCACCCTCAGATTCCAGATTTTCAAATAGTTGTACCTCGGCCAAATAATGCCCTATCATAACAAACCATACATCAATGGAAAGCTTATGTATGTAGCTTTGAGATGGTGTATAAATCTCAATTTAAAAAAATATATATATACAGTATATGTAAAATTTTGACCTATTTAAGTTTTTGTTTGCCCCCATTTTTTTCTTGCAATAAATAAACATTTACACATTATGTGGGTACATTGTTCTTCATTATTGTTCTAAGATCTCCTCAGTTTTTTTTTAATTGTCCATTTTTTTTTTTTAATGAAGACCAGTCATGACACCTAAAATATACAGCTCATCTTATACTGTACATTAATACTGTACAGTTTAACATAAAATCTCATGTTGAGGAAAAAGGTTCATCTATATGTTTACCCAGGTACACTTTTTTAACCTTAACTAACTTTTTTATGATTTAAAGATAATCTATTCCCATTTTTCAGTATTAAAATTGGGCAATTGTTTGTTGGTTGTCTTTTTTTTTTTTTTTGTGTTTTTACATATATCTTAAATAATGTTTAAACCAGTAATTTCGGTGATTACACACTTGTGATCGTATCACAAATTGGGATCGATTTTCTTATTACAGTACCCATGATAGTGAGAGGAATGGAATATCCCATTTTAGTACTCAAATTTAGCTGACCTACTAATATTTAACTCAAGACACCCTGATTTTCCCCCTGTCTTCCACCCCTCAGTGACGCTGCTGTGTGGTCCACAAATTCCCCTCATGAACAGCTATATAATGTAGCTTTTGGGGATGCCAGATAACGTGGACTGAGAGCTCTACATCTTCATCATCACCATCCTCAACACTGCTGCTGCTGTCTGCACAGCTGTCATTAACTTGTTGAATACTTTTGATCAATTTCATTTTTCTTTTTCACCCATAAGTGGCTTGTTTCCCCTCCCATGATGAACAGACTCGTCCTGACGTCATCTGCGATGCTGCTGTTGCTGTGTGTCTGGGTCAACTTGAGTCAAAGCAGTAAGTAAAACCGACTTTTCTCAGACAATCTCTTTGGTTTCAAGTGTTGCTCAGTGCTTTGAGTTCCCAAGGCTGCTCTTGAAATGTAACCACATGCATTTTTAATCATTTAGAATTTGGACGGTTACATCCGCCATACAGCTGAGACGCTGCCATGTTTAATAATCAGGAATTTTGCAGTTGATTTGATGACTTAACTGATATGATAGATTTATGTCTTAACTCAGTGGCAAATTGAATGTAACTGTTTATCTAAAAAAATCTGACAACTTATTTGAGCATCACTGACATGATATGGTTTTTATTTCTGTAATAGTACTAATAATCTGAATGTGCTAAAACTAAATACACAATAACCAGGTTTATATATTTATCATCAATAAATCAAATTTGTTTAATTTTAACTAATTTAATATTTCTTATTCCACATCTAGCCAGATTTTAACCGTTCATACTTTTTAACTGAACAGATTCAAATTGATTCTAAACAATTGTAATAAATTAATTTAGAAAATATGATTTTTTTTATATATAAATTAAAATCAAGCCTGTGCTAATAGTTAATCATATAACTATGGCATGACTTTTTGAGTGCATCTTAACTATTTCTTGCTAATTAATGTATGACAAATATGCGTCACATTATGTTTATTATAGTTTGTTTATGTTAATAAGACCTACATTTTTGTGGAGGAAAAAAAAGATAAATTTTAAAGAATAATTATTTAGATCTTTAACTCAAAATTATCATTTGGACAATTTATTTATTTTTATTATTTCTATTTCTATTTCTATTATTTATATATATTATTTATTTATATCATGACTCCAAGATGCCATTAATTAAATTGAAATACAAGTTACCAAGGAGATTCAAAGACATTGTTTTATAAAAAAAAGTTTATATTTACATTTATGCATATAGCAGGTGCTTTTGTACAAAACGACTTAAAATAGAGAAACAATTTTTCACAGAGTCAACAATATTAATAGTATACAATGCCAAGTTTATTACCAGGAAAATTAGCAAATTAATTTTTTTTTTTTTATAAAGCTATGGGTCAGGATAGTTGGTCAAGTGTCATAAAACCACATAAACTGAGAGACTGTCATGTGTTAAGGTCCAGTGAGGTGCTGTACCAAATATTCATCACAGCCTTTTCCTGTCCTCCGACTGAAAGACTTCACCCGACAGGACGCCACCATGACCTGCAACATAGAGGCTGTCATGTGAGGAGCAACACTGGTTTTGTCTTAAATGGATTAACATTTTGCATTAATGTTTATGTAAGAGAACAATCTGTAATATCTGTAATATTTAATCTAGAATTCTCTCTCCTGTAGTTTTACTACGGTGAAGAACAGACAGATCTGTGCTAACCCTGATGATCTATGGGTTCAGAACGCTATCTTGCATATCCAGTGAGTTCAGCATTACACACACTTACATTAATGTCTCTTGGCAATGGCAATGAGCACAAGACTTAAAGTGGTAGTGAATGACTAAACTGCAAGTATATTACTGACCCAGTGTAAAGTTTTGTAATGTGCAGTGTCATATGTCTCCATATGCTGAATATACTGGTAAATATGAATGAGCTAAAGTTAAAACCTGAGAATCCTCTCCTAAGGGTTTTATTTAATTGTCTCTTGCAGGAACACAAAAAAGTCATCATAATGTGGACACCATCAGATCGGTCTAAAACTGGCTTAAGCTGAACAAATTAACAGAAACAGAAATCCTTCTATAAAATGTATTGTTTAGAATTTATTTTTATAATTAATAAATTAATAAATGGTTTTGACAGGAACACTGTTTTGTTTTGTCTGTAACATTTCTAGTCAAGTTGACACTTTGTGAATTTGTGCACAATATTGTATGCTCATAAGGCTGCTCTGGCATTACAGCACACTAAAACAAATATTCAAATATTCAGTAAACCTGGGCAAATGAAAGTTTGTGAGCACATACAGTAGACAGCAGGTGGCAGTATGTGCCCAAAACCCAGCTGCCCCAAAATACACATACAATCCTTAATGTTTTGAATTATTGGAGATTTATTTAGAGCTTGTAAAAGCATTAGTAATAATTAATCAAATGCATCCTCCTTTTAGGTAAGCAGAGTGTTGAAATTATGTTCTCAAGACAGCTGCATTTGTCTTGTCTGATGAACGTTTTTGGATCGGTCATCCCTTGCTCAGGTGGAAGGCCAACATTCAACAGGTCATCATTATTTGATTGTGATATACTTAGGTTTTTGGTACCCTAGGGTGTGCGTAATTAGAAGTTGTTGTTTTTTTCAACATGAAGCAGATCTAAACTACAGGTTCAATGGCCAAATTTGAATGCTATAAATGTAAAAATTCTCTGTGCTATCTTTTTTATTTAGATGTAAAATTGAATTTCTGTAAAATCTCACTCATAACAGAAATTCTCTTACTTGAAGTCTGGTCACAATCTTTTAGTGACTTCAGAGTTACAGACTTGTTCTATAATCTACTGTTGTCATTAGTGGCCTCTGAAACACAGCTTGTTTAATTTACATTTTTGCTTTTGGTAGACACTTTTATCCAAAGCAGCTTTCACTTAATGCATTGCTGAAGTCAACATTTTTGTAAACAGCCATGCAGTCATGTTATTTATATTCTCGTGAATGTGTTCCAATGTGAGTTCTGCAAAGCCACTTGGTCATATTTTTAACTCTAATTTTACTCTGTTTTATTTCATTACTATTGCCCATTGGGGTTTGTGAAACAGTGAATCTCCATTCAAAGTTTCTGCAATAGTAATTTGTCATTGCCAATGTCAAAAAGGGCATATACTGTAGGATGGCAAGTCAGCAGCCTTAAAACTTCAGCTTTTCTATCTTTCTCCCATATGTCATATAACTGTTTGGCTGAGACTGAACATGACCTGCAGGGTGACAGATCCAAACTGGAGAAAGCTGCTGTACATATCCAACTTCCTTCTTTTTATGAAAGGGGAACACAAGTTCACAGCACGAGATATCCAGTCAGCAAGCCTCTGTTGCAAAATAAACCCTTACAGAATGATCACAACCCTGTGCACGACACAAAGTTGAGTGATCTTACATGGAAGCATGTGGAAGCATATGGTGTTAAAAATGAAAAGCAATTTGCCATTTTAGTATTTGCCTTTCATAGTTGCACATTAAAGTCCCCATCCACCGAAGTGAAATAGTTCCTCTCTTATATAGCAGTAAAAAAGCTATTTCTCACGTTCATGCAGAGGCTGTGATGCTACACTCTCAGAAATAAAGCTACAAAAGCTATCACTGGGGCAGAACCTTCAAGGGTCCCTTACCTTAAAGGTACAAAGTGTACTTTTTGAAAAGGTATCGCCCCAGTGACAGCTTTCATGCTTTTTTTCTGAGAGTGTATATGAGCATTGCACGCTATAGCTTTAAACTTTGCTTTCTCATGCAAATTTTGCATTCAAGGGAAACTTTTGGGAGCGAACGCAAAAAGCAATGAATATTATTTTTATTACTAGCAGCATCTCTTATTTTTCTTTCACTATGTTTGACTTAGAGGAGCAAACTCCTCTTGAACTTATGCTACGAGACGTTTTGAAACATTTACGATCATGCAATGTTTTGTTTCAGTTCAAACCCATAATTTGGAGCATGTAAATGTGCCTAGTTATTTGACTTGTGATGGATCGATCAAGAACGACTCTTTCTTTTTTTCTGGCCCAAATCTTTCTTTCTAGATTTGACAGCCGCAAATGTAGGCCTATAGGACATAGAAATGAGTTCACCTCCTGAGTTCGGTCTGAGTGCTTTGTTCATTTGTCACGTGTTGTGACTCTTGAAGATGTAGATTTCCAACAGCAATGAAGTACAGTATATAAACACTGTAGCTACACACCCAAATATTCTTTTTTTCTTGTTTATTTTTATAATTCTGCATTTAGTATTTTAAATATTCTTAATATATAATGTTATATATTTTTTATATTCTTAATATATAATTTGTCATAATCTGATTTATTAATGGGGAGTTCTTATACACTCTTCTGGAAATAGATCTGTATTCTGGGTTCAGCGGCCAAATTGGAAAAAATTTGAAAATACATCTTATTACCATCCTCCATGTTTTCTGAAAATGCACAGTATATTGATGCGTAATAACTTTCCTTCAATAATAAACATTTCCGGTTAAGAACAAAATAAATGTTGTTCTAATAACCTTTAGATTAAAGAGTCGATGTCCAAATGATCTGGTGAGCAGGTAGTGGTTTTGTTCAAATTAAATGAAATTACTATGTGTCTGTCAAGCTCATTCTATTTTTCACAAGCTCTTCATTAACTGCATGTGCAATGCTTTTGCTGTGTGTGGGTGTGTTGGTCTAATTTCCTTTCATGGAAAGCTGAAGTTGATTTTCCTAGAATCAACTGATCAAAATGAAACTGAATTGTTACATTAAAGAATAAACCAGCCACTCTTACCAAAACAAAAATCTGCTAAAAATGTGCTGATGTGTTACCAACGACTAATGGAGAAATGAATAATTAATTATGTATTTTTTAAAAGTGATTTGAAACATTTGTTTTATTAGCATTATAAAATTGAGTAAACATGAAATCTACTTAAAACTAAAACTGTCAGTCAATATTGTCAATATTCCTGTTAGTATTGACAGCGAGTATGGTTAAGTTACTAAAAAATATGCTAACACTGTGCTCTATAGCTTTATTCTTATTCATCTGTTTCAGTCACATGACTTTTCCTGCTCATCTGCCATATTTATGACCATCAAAGGAATGACGGTAAATCTAAAAATATCAAGTCATTTTGAACGGGACTAATAGATCGGTAGGGGTGTTGATGCTAATCCACCACGGGACTCGGGTAAGAAGTGCGACAGGAGACAGGGCACTGTTCAACTCTTTATCTGAAGTATTTAACTGTTCACAGCAGATGGCACAACATTGCTCCAATTGGATTGGATATTGTACAACTTAAGGCCACAAAGTGTTAAATGTGGTCTTTATTCAATCACGCATATTAACAACTGAAGAAATGGCGGATCAAGCGGCTAGTGAAAGTGAAAGTAAATCGGAATAGCGGAAACTCACGTCAACTAGCGGCACACATTCATAATAAAAGTCCTTCCCCTATAAACATACATAGGGAATTTAGAACAGCCGCCCCCAGATTAGCATAGCTAATATGTCTAAAGATAAATTCCCTAGTCGTTAGAGTCCGTTTCACCTCCATCCGGAAGTGCGGGAAGTCTGACAAGTTTGGCCACAGGTCGTAGGTATAGGCGATCATTGACCTGTACTTGAGCTGACCTGATGTGTCCATCAGCACTGGGTATCAGTTTGATAACCCGACCAACTGGCCATTGGGCTCTGGGAAGCTGCGGGTCGATTATCATGACCACCGTGTTCTCAGCTAGATCTTGAGTTACCCGCTGCCACTTCTGGCGAGTCTGGAGACCCGGGAGGTAATTTCATGTGAAGTAAGACCAGAAGTGATCAACGATAGTCTGGGAATGATGCCAACGACGCTTGGACAAGCGCTGCTGAAGAATCCATCCTTGGTCGGTGGTACGAACTGTATTGAGGCACATGGTCTGGTATGAGAGACTTCGGCAAGGCTACATCATAAGCTTGCAGACGTGTGGAAAGCTGGCGTGCTCTCGACTGTGTACGAACAGCGTGCGTTGTATCAGGGGAATGAAGCTGGCTCTGTTGCTCCATATCACCGCAGTGAATATAACATCCGGCTCGAAGGACCAAAATGAACGGGACTAATAGATCGGTAGGGGTGTTGATGCTAATCCACCACGGGACTCGGGTAAGAAGTGCGACAGGAGACAGGGCACTGTTCAACTCTTTATCTGAAGTATTTAACTGTTCACAGCAGATGGCACAACATTGCTCCAATTGGATTGGATATTGTACAACTTAAGGCCACAAAGTGTTAAATGTGGACTTTATTCAATCACGCACATTAACACCTGAAGAAATGGTGGATCAAGCGGCTAGTGAAAGTGAAAGTAAATCGGAATAGCGGAAACTCACGTCAACTAGCGGCACACATTCATAATAAAAGTCCTTCCCCTATAAACATACATAGGGAATTTAGAACACATTTGATTGGTCAACAAATATTCCAGTTAATAAATTGTACAAATTAATCACCTCTAAAACATGTGACAGAATTACCCAAATTTTAAGACAATGGAATTCACAAAAATATTCTTGAAACAAGTTTTTGAAACCAACCTATAAAACCACTGCTAAAGAAAATACAGTTTTGTCCAGTGGAATATTAAAACAAGCACACAGACTCAAGTCACTTTCATTAGATAGATGCATTTTAATAGACCAGTTGAATAAAACAAGCAGAGCAAGGCTGTTTTGCATTATTGATACACTGCAGTAAAATTCAATATTTGTAATTATATATTATGATTTACATGTCAAGATTAATTTATCTCATTTAGAATCATTAATTTGTTAATAACAAATAAAGATGTATATATTAGAGACATCTGTGGTTAACAGTTAATGGAACGTTTATTAGAACAATTTATTACTTGTCATACTTATCAAGACACAGACAGTAGATTAATATTGTTACAAATAACACATATATGTTACGTTTGGAAGACCTCCGAAAAAAAGGACATTTCACTATTAGACATTATCCTGCTTTAAAGGTTTTATGATACGTCATAATGTATGTTTATGTCTGCTTTGACACAATCTGTATTGTAAAAAGCGCTATATAAATGAAGGTAAATAACTTGATTCATTAATGGTGA